GACCATTGACCACGCGTCCTCGAGAAGACGGAGCATTGTTCCCACAGGACCGATCACCGATGGCCAATCGTTCCTTCCTACTTTGCCAAAGGTGGCTCAAAAATGTCTTCCCTAGTCTGTATATCCTAACGATATACCTTCCCGCCTTTTCAACCCACCTCCTATGCCCCAGTACAGCTACCTTCCTTTCCTCTCTATTCCATGCTTCAAACATCTTCCTGCACGTCCCTTGTATTTTCCCATCTCAGTCATGTACACTTCCCTCTCCTTGTACAATGTCGGGGGGGGAGGGGGGACGAATGGTTCAATTCTGCGGCCATCGAAGGTATGATGCCAGCATCAATCTGTCCCGCCTCCCCCTTGAGAACATCTAGAGTGGCAGCGGCTGCGGATCGTGGCCAACACCACACAATCCGGACGTCGTACTGAAGACAAGCGCGGTCACACATGCACACGCAGATACACACACACGCACCTTCTGCTTGCGGACAAGCAGGTCAGGTGCACCGGTGTCGTCTCTCGCGATCATGATGTCGTCGTCCAAGTAGGTGATGTACAACGTCCTCCGGGGCTGTGTTGTTGCGGAGTACCACATTCACACCCATCCCCCGAGATGAAAAAGAAGAACAGCCAGAGAGAGCCAGCGGCACAAGTGGCGCGCCAGCAAAGAGGACGGACGAGGAAAGGCGATGAAAGTGTGAACAAGGGGAGGGGGAAGAATATACAGAGGGCAACGTGCTACGCGCCGTACAACACGTGACGCCAGCAAGCACACAGCAGAAGCAGTTTCATTCAGTAGCAGCAGCAGCAGCAGCAGCAGCAGTTGTAGCAGCACAGCAAAGAGGGGAGCGCAAAACTTGTCATGCAGAATGACGGCGAAAACGACAAAGAAAAGAGCTCCTGAGTTCTCAGCAAGAGCAACGAAACGAGGCGAGCTTCCGTGCCCATGCAGCTGACACCGATGGCCTCGTTTCATTGGCCAATCAGCTTCAGGCGCGGTCGAATAACAGGAACCACGATGCGCCCACATACCCCGGTGGTCTAGTGGGTAACCTCGCAGCCTGCTAAGGGCCAGGTCATGGGTTCGAGTCCCGGCAGAGTGAGTTTCATTGTCACTAACTAAATCCTGGTCTAGGATGCAAGCGATGCGTTGCAAAGCTCGTTGTTAGTAGACAATAATCGACTTCGTAAGTCGCGAGGGAAGGGATTGCTGTACCCTTCTCGCGATAAAAATACCTCAGGCAGGAACCGCAGGAGGGGGTCCAGCCCCCCCTCCTACATGACCCCAGTTGGGTCGTCTAGCTAGTGGAAGTGGAGGATAGGGGCCAGAATGGATGGAAGTGGAGGATAGGGGCCAGAGGGGCAGACGATAGAGTCTAATGATGGGAGAAAAAAAAAAAAATACAACACCATCGCAAGAATAAAGGTGGCGTTCATTTTCCTGCTGTCGGACTGGTATTTGTCACAGCCGGCTGTGCTATAGGGCACGATCGATGTTCATTGCAGAAACCACACGCATACATTCCATTCACAAAAGCGATTTAGGTCGTGAGTAAACAAACTTCCGCTTCACGGTCGATGAGGGAAAGGGATGGCTAAACCCTTGTCGCGATAACACCAAGGCAAGCACCGCAGGACGAGAAGTGGAGCAATAGAATCAACGACAACAAAGAAAAAAAAGCTCCTGTGTGACCTTCCTCGTGAGGGATCCCGGCTGATGCGTCAGGCATGCGTTTCTACGCCGAAGGGCCTGCTGACCGGCGTCAGAATAGATGGGGGGGCGAACACACACAACCACATGCCTGTATCCTGGCAGGGATGGGGATGGTGACCCCCGCCACTTCTGCCTCCTCGTACACCTCCTGCAGCCGCATGTCGCTCTTCTGCTCCAACCTTGTTCGGACCTGTTCGTTCGTTCCGCGAGGATGGCAAAAAATGACGAGCAGGCGGTCATGTGGAAGCCGAAAGCCCAAACGCGCACGCACACCTGTCCTTTGATTGGTCGTCGGCCGGTCAGAGCGTTTGATGATATAAAAAAAAAAACACGAACAACGCACAAGTTGCTGTTTGTCGAAAATCATGGAATCGCGTGTTAACCACACAGAATAGTCGTCGCAGGTGGACGGTAGCATTTCGATTGAATTAGGACACCCAAAACAAACCGTCTTTACTAGTTGTGTGCCGTGCACTGTGCTCGAAGAGTGCCCCGTCTGACTTCCGGCAGCTGTCATCTCGTTCGCCAAAAAAGAACAGAAAGAAGCACGCAATGCCCCCAAACGTCACGAAAATTTGCGTGATTGTTACAGTATGCGTGTGTGCAGCAACGTACACCAAATCGCCAGAACCCTCACGCGCGGGGATATTTTTTGTTCCATCTGCCTGACAAGCGCTTCGATAAGCAACATCAGAACTTCCATGAGTCCACTGATACTAGCTAGCTCGGTTCTGGTCGCCGCACACTGCAGCCCGTAAGCGTAAACAATTGTCGCAAGTATTTGCTGTGTTACGGCGGTTTCACGAGTGTCGCTGCAAGGAAACCGCACCAAGAACAGCAACGCCACACGTTTGTAGTCAAGACCCACCTTAACCTGGGCCTCGGTCCCGAAGACGGATGCCTTGACGGCAGCCTCTACCCTGCCATCAAGTGGAATTTACATCATCATGACGCCGCACGAAAAACACGGGACAAAGATAGACCGAAGACACCACCAACGACATGCAGCGATTGTTGGCAACAGCAGCAGCAGCACACTAGCGATGGAGGGGGTGGGGGAGGACGACGAGAAATCAGCACCGACACCATGGGTAAGCCATCGACAGGCCAGACAATCGAGTGTGACTAGGCAGGTGGGCGACCGGTGGAATCGTGTACGGAAAAGGGAATGGCGGAAACGAACCTCGCACAAGGGTTTAATTATCTCGGCGAGCCAAAACCGAACAACTACCGCATTCAAACGAAGCACCCAAGACGGGAAACAAAACAAATCATGCACGTGTAGATACCACGCTACAATCAAAGTCATGTGCACGCCAGACAGGAGTGCAAGCCCCAGGTGCCCTTCGCATTTCCCACTCAGGTTGGTGCTCTTGTGGTTGTTTCTGTTTCTTTGTTTTTTGTCAGGAAGCATATGACCAGCGGGTGTGCGTTGCTCGCGATCGTTCTTTGCCGCCTACCCGTCGCCTGCTCTCCCTTCACACCCACACCTTGGCTGATCCCTGTTGATGGTGAGCGTGACGCCCTTGAGGTCCACCACAGCTGAGAAGGTCTTGGCCACCCTCGAAAGAACCTGACGGTGTCCGACGAACCCGGCACGCCGACCAGATTCAGGTACAAGGACAAGAGAAGCCACATGACAGCAGCAACCAAAGAGAGAACGGAACCAGGCGAGAACGGTCAGCAATGAGAGCGACGACAGCAGCCACGATGTGAGAACAGGCTCTCGACCGGAGCATGTGTCGGTCGGGCTCTCGCCCAACCCGGTGCTCCTTCAACACACCACCCCGCCCGCCCACACCTTGCCCCGTTTGTGCAAGAACACGTCGGACACTCGCGTGCACCGCGTTCTACGATTCTTGCGTGCTCTTGATGGTTGGAGCTGGGTACGACTTTTGGCCTCGCCTACGGTAGTGTTTTGTGCCCATTTTACATTTGGAAGTGTTTTGGTCGGTTGGTCTGTTGTCAAGTGTTCTTTACCACTATTCTCGTCTGATAAGTTCTTACTGCTACGAATCTAAAGCAGTAGTCCCAATAACCGATGAGGCCAAAATAGACGTAGCACAGGTCCGCGACGGCGTGACAAGAAAACGATTTGAAAAACACATCTCATGGAGAGATCGAATGGGGGCTCATTCGGCTACGGGTCAACCCGTACACTCCTTGGGGTAGAATTGGCGTAGGCTGCGACGGACGTATCGCCGTCTCCACAAAGTTGCCTATAACATAAACGTAACGGGTGTGCATTTGCTGCAATCGACTTGTTCCGATGCATGCATGCATGTGTGCCTGGGTCTTGCACATATATGCAGACGATTCGGGCGTGAGGAGAGTTGTGCTGTGCTTCGCCAGACACCAAGCAACAGAACCAATAACAGCATCAGCAAGCATGAGTGCACCTGTACGGCGAGCGTTCCGGGGCTCAACCCCCCCGTGTAAAGAAATTCCCACACCCCGTTGAGGATGGCAGACGCAGCCGGCTTGTCGGTGGGGTTCATAGGCTCGAGCTTGAGCATCAGCTCGTTCACCTCCGTCCTGTGGGCAAAGTTGTAGGGGGGCGGTGTGACGGAAAATGAGCAGGGGGCGGTGCGGGGGGGCTAGACCATCGACCACGCGTCCTTGAGAGGACGGAGCATTGTTCCCACAGGACCGGTCACCGAGAGTGCAGGGGGGGGGTGTACTCNTGACAGCTGCATATACCTTAATTTATTTTCTGGTGCTTTCACTTCCAGAGACAGCAGTTGTAAGCACTGTGTAACTGACTCGAGGGTGCTTGACCAATTAACACAACGTGGTGCGATCATCCCCTCTGCGCGAAGTGAGGCTTCTCCACCCCGCACAACATGATCTACTCGACCACCATTATGGNAGCGCCGTGAGATATTCGGCGAGTCGCATGAAGGGTGCGCTGCATCCTGCTAAGGGTGTTGGGCGTCTTGTGCTTACTTCCTTGCGTACGGATGACAGCTGCATATACCTTAATTTATTTTCTGGTGCTTTCACTTCCAGAGACAGCAGTTGTAAGCACTGTGTAACTGACTCGAGGGTGCTTGACCAATTAACACAACGTGGTGCGATCATCCCCTCTGCGCGAAGTGAGGCTTCTCCACCCCGCACAACATGATCTACTCGACCACCATTTATGATTTACCACAAAAAAAAAAGAGGTAAAAAACCCCCCGGTAACCTGGTTGCCGAGCTCACGAAGTGAATTGGCTTGTTTTACAACGTCGTTGCCAAGCGACGAAAACCCAATCCCGATGGCAAACACCGAGGGAGAGTGCAGGGGGGGCGGTCTAATCGTCGGCGACAATTATTTCGCATCCAAGACGGTATGAGGACGGAAGCGTGGCGGGGATGTTGGCGATGGGTGGGAGGGAGAGAGAGAGGCACACACACAGGGAAGAGAGAGACAGAGACAGAGACAGAGAGACAGAGAGAGAGAAAGACAGACAGGCAGAGAGAGAGAGAGACAGACCGAGGTCTTCATTACCTCTTGATCCAATCGATCCACAGACTTGGCGCCTGCTGCTGCTGTAATTCTACATAGGGCCAGGAGCATTTCTAAAAGTAAGCATGACCTCGCAGAATGACTACACCCGTTCGAGGTCCAACCACGCGAGTGTATGCGCTGAAATTTGGAGCATTTGTTCCAGCTGACTTGTTCCAGCCTACATTTTCAAAGCCGGAATTGGCCGGACCGTAGCTTCACGTGCTACGCCTGCTTCCCACCTTGCTACAACATACTACCGCAAGGCACAGCTGCAAAAACAGCCTTCACATTTGGACGAACCTCATCTGCTTGGAGGAGGACAGGTCGATCTGCTTGAGGAGGTCAGTCTTGACCTCGAACTCCTCGCCAACGACCGACGCTTCGACGACCTCGGCTGTGCTCATCATCATTATGGTCAGAGAGGAGGAACGCAGCGACGAGGGAGAGGAGGCGACAGCAGCACGGGCGGCGAGCATCGAAGGCGCGAGAGACGACGACGAAGCCGCCCGCCTTGCCGCTGCTGGCCGTGGTGGTGCTCTGTGCTGCTGCGTTGGTGCAGTCCAGCATGAAGGTTGAACGACAAACGCCGAGGCTGTGGCGGAAAACAAGGCCACCGTTGCTGCTAACTGAACCATGTTCGCCCGTCAATCGCTCGATAGGGTTCAATCCTCCTAGGTATACTCTTGTACAAACGTAAGGCTCGAGCTCTTGGCTTGTGTCCCTGTCTCAGGTCGCTGGGGTTGCTCGTGTGTAGCCTGTGCCAGCGCAGCAGTTTCCCTTCGTCCAACGAGATCTCCGAAATTTTCGGAGATGCGGGGGTTCTTCGCCGCTCTCGCTCGCGGAGAGTCGACAGAGGATGCATACACAGGGGCGGCGGCACACTGGCGTACACACCAACAAGCAAAGCGCGCAGGGAAGACACCAACCATGAGCACACGCAAGGGGGCGGGCGCTACCCGCACGAGGAAGCCGAAGCACCAGAACACCTTCGCTTTCCGACACAACCCCAAGTCCCAGAAGACAGCCAAAATCCTTTCTAGCGTCAACGCCGGGCTCTGCGCCTCTTGTCATGACAAGGTGAGCTAAATACAATAGTTTACAAGGGGGATCAACGCCGGCGACCTGTCGGTCGCCGGCTAACCTTCGCAGTCGAAAAAGAACGAAAATCAAAGCGCCCGGTGCTGTGGCGTTGACTGGGAACGGCTAAAGAGGCAAAGTACTACAATATATTGGACGAGGGAAACTAAGAGAGAAACGATGGTGATGTTGAGGGATGGGTGGCAGATGGGTGGTCTGGAAAGAAAAGTAATGCAGGACATCCGAGATGGCATATTTTAACCAGGAAAGTGGCAGGTTGGAGTACAGGACGGAAACATCAACGAAACAGAGGTCACAGGAGGTCGCCGGGGACGACGGCACAACCATAAGGATATTTGTTGCGCAGGCTTCACCTCGAAGTCGAAAAACGTGCGTGTACCTGTTTACCTTCGAAGGAGATCATATTTCGCGGGAAGCAACAACTATCGTTCGTACCCGACGATCACTATCCAAACGAAAACACACGAAGAACGAACGAACGCGTGACGCCAAACGCAGACAGAATGACTGACATGGGCACACACAAAAAGAAAGGAGGGAAACCGCGGCGGAAGCAGCAACACCAACGACTACTCCTATCCAGGTATAAAAATACCTGCTGGTAGGAAAGAGCACAGAATGCTACGGGGAGCAACAACAGCCTCCAAACTATTAAGCATATGGCGCGTAATCTAGCAGGCTACAAAATATATGTGAAGGCGGCGAAGTACGGCAGTGCAGGAGAAGACAAAGGTACGAAGACGGTACCGATGGAGTCTATAGGTCAGTCAGACAGAACACTACTGACCTCGAAAGAAAAGTATAACCACAACCAAACCCGTTAGTAAAACAAAGCAATACGAAGGAACATCGAATGAGAGACACTACCACTACTACTATAGGCAGGACGACCCATGGGCCAGGTAAAGAAGAACGGAGTGACATCGTGCCGGAAGCAGCAACAACATTTCATACCCAACGAAAACAAGCCAAATAAACAACCACGAAAAATACACTCCGAAAGACAGAACAGCACAGGGTGGCACGCAACTACAGCAGCACTATAACCGAATGTAATACGTTGTCTCGCAGTATGAAACACACGCGCCCATCCAATGACGGGAGGCTTTGTAGGTAGTCTTGGTGTTGCACGAGTACAGTGTAGGTCCCAACTTCGTCTCTCGCCACTTTCTGGAGTTTCCTCGTGAGGGTGGTGACGGTAGAATTGTTGCCCAACCTATGGACAGTTCGTAGAGCACCACATATATACGGTTACAGATGGCCCTTTGTTCCCCGACCAAACGTTGTGGTCGTATCCATCGACCACAGCTTGCGACGAAACATGGCATGGGAAAAGTCGTCTGCACGCCTGATGCGTTCCGTATGGTACAGGTGGGCGTTGGCGAAGGGTTCCTCAAGGATCCCTCGTCGATTGCTTTCTCTGTATGACAAAGCAACGGTTACCCGGTGGTTTGTCCGGCATGCGCTACACGCAAACTGTTTTGAAAACGAAACGGTGATCGCAGTACGCCATTCGCACGTCGTGCGACGTTGGCGAAATATGGCGTACCGTGAACGATATCGAACGTGGAAGGGATCTGGCGGCCATTTTAAGATGCGTAGAAAGGGTCGCCCCCCGCCAACACGCAAGAGCAAAGGTTGTAGGGATGGTCGTCTACCACTCGTTGGGTTTGAAAAAGAGGTCGTGGGCGAGACTTCACGCGCAGCGTGACGGCGTCCACGGTGTCTCCGGTAGAGGTTGCCAGCATCGTGCCAGAGAGAGCTGGTTGGGGATGTGCTGCTTGTGAGTGTGATGCGGCGGAACTGCACACTTCAACGCTTCAGCCTTGAACCTAGCACCGAGAGAACCATCTGCTCCTGCTGCTGCCAGCGCGCTGGCGCGCGCGTGTGTGTGCATCGGTTTTTCGCTGGTGCAACTATGTGCGACGAATGCACTCGTAAGGTGAGCGCGGGGGGCATCGCCCTTTCCTACCAAGACAGAGAGCAGCAGCACGGCAGGTTGCAGGTAGGTTTGTTGTGCCCTTTCGGCGTCCGAATTTCGACGAAGGGCGAAGAAGACGGCAGAAGGAGGACGAAGATTTCCCCCGCTCGGGCTTTTTAGGGGAAATGAAACTCGGGTCTCTCCGCCGGGAGACCAAATACGGCACCCCGCCCCGCCTCGGTCCCGGCGAACCCCGAAACCCTACGGGCGAGGCCCGTGAGAGCCCGGCCGAGGCCCTTAGGGCGCGAAAGACCGGGTGAAAATCGATTTATCTCGGCGCCGAAACGACCGCCCGAATTTTTTTCTAGGAAATAGAATTGAGGGTCCGAACTTCAACCCCTTCCCCCGGGCCGAGGCCGTCGAGCCCGGGCGCCGGAAGTCCGGGGTCCCGGTCGGTAGTCTGAGGTACGACTTCCCTGAAAGTTTCGTCCCGGGGTCGATTTGTCGCGGGGGCGAGCCGGAAACGCGTCGGATTTGGAATATTATACACATGCCTATAGATGCAGGCAGTGGGGGCTACCGGTCTAGCGTGCGAGGGACGCTGGGGTAAGAGAGGCAGGGAGAGAGAAATATACCGGACCATGTCGATGGCTCGAAGCAAGCAGCGTGGGGAGCATCGATAAGGGCGCTTCCTCGCCAAATTTGGGGAAAGATTTTGGGTGGTTGTTCAAAGCTCTCTCCGAGAGTGCTGCTGTGAAGAATAGTCTAAACGTAAGCTGTGGTGCCTTTGTTTTGCGGACCATCTGCGATGCCCATTCAGATCGGTCAACCCGCAAGCTACAGCCGTACCAGCAACACTGTTGTGGCACTTGCACCGGAGTTGGTGTACCGAGGAAAAAGGTTGAACGTGCCCAACGAATATGACGTTAGACAACACCTGCTACCGTAACGTTACTGCTGCTGCGCCCATTTACAAAATACTGCTGTAGCATGCCTCATCTCCCTCGCCAAGACTTAATGCATACTGCTGTATTGTGGTTTCCAATTTATCTGAGAACTTTGTCTGGACGCGTGAAGTCTGTTGCACAAATTGCTCGGCCTTTGCGGTAGGTACATAGAGGGGCGCTGCTGGATCCCCGCGCCGACCGTATTTTGTGTTATACTCAATCCCGTTGTAAACACGGCAAACTCGATCGGCACGCACCACCACATGAAGGTCTTGCTCCGCTTCCTCACCTCGTCATGAAACTGACCCTCTGGTATTTCTCCGTGATCGGTGATGATTGGGTTGAAACTCCGAATCCGCCCCTTGCCTGGTCTCACACATGGTTTTGTGGAACACAACGTACCCGTGGTTTTTTGGCACACGGTAGATCTCCCAAGCGGCAAAAACTAAAGGGTGTGTTCGTGTTCATTGTTGGTTATTTTCAAGTTTTTCGAGTCTTTGGGGGGAACGCAATACCTGGGGGGGGGGGGGGGGGG